AGACAGTTTGTGACTCATATCAATAGGAGTWGCAGCTGGTCTAGCACCCATCTTCCCAGTTTCAGAGAGCAAGTCAAGGACATACTTCMTTTGGGAGATAAGAATCCCATTCTTGGATCTAGCAACTTCTATGCCAAGGAAGTATCTCAAATTCTATACGAAGGAAAGACTTAAGAGCACGAATTCCTGAGGCATCATTACCAGTCACAACAAAGTGTAAACTAAGGTCAAATCAAGAGACACATTACTAGTACCGGTAATGGAGGAAGAAGAGCCATTAGCCAAAGTAACCGTCTAGGGTGTGGAGGGTGGAGACATAGAAACAAACAAGTTTGAGGAGCTGATCATATGGTCTGAAGCTCCAGAGTCAGTCACCTAGGAAGAAGACTTAGATCTGGAGGCAAGGCAAGCTGTACTTAATTTCACAAGGGTGGAAGTGGTAATACAAGAAGAAGTAGACTGGCGAAGCCTCTCATACTCCTCTCATGTGATGGAGATAGTCTCTTTGTCATTTCCATTACTGAGAGCAGATATGTCCTTAGTGATGCTGTGAGTACTAAGATCATCTCCTATAACAGCAAGGTTAGCTCAAGTAGATGGGGGGCCATATAAGTCATAGCAGAAGTTAACTACGTGACCTTCACTATAATGTAAACATTCATGAATAGATCCACGTCCACCACCACCCTTAGCACCACCCCTTATACCTCCTACTTCTCTTCCCCCACCATGGCCACCTCTATGCCCACGACCAAAACCTCTTGTAGCACTTCCACTGACTCCTAACTCGGCCTGCAAAACCTGCTCTAGAAGCTACTAAGGCTGATCTCTCTGAGGTAGGAACATGGTCATTATGAGGAGTTGAAGCTCTCCTTATCCAGGGGGGGGGGGGAACTTTAGATAAGGAGGGGAAATCACTGCTGCCCAAAATTTTAGCCATCACCAGTCCAAACTCAAACATCAAATTTGATAGAAATATTGCTACATCAAGATGCTCCCTCTGTTCTTGTTGCACCTTGAAGTCAGTGGACTGGGACTGATAGACAATAAGTTCATTTCTCAGGTTCTTCAGTGAAACATAATACTCTTCAACACTTTTATCCCCTTGTTGGAGAGACAAAAAATCTTGGTAAAACTAATTTATTCTTGTGACATAATTTTGCCTTGCTTAGCATGGTCCCAAATCTCATTAGTTGTATCAAGGAACATAGGATTCACACTGATGTGGTTTTCCATGCTATTCCATGAGGTCATGATCTGGGCATTCTCTTGTAGCTATTCATTTTATCCTTTTGATCCATTCTTCAACGGGCCTTCTACTTCAACTTACATCTTCCAATAAAAGACACCTCAACTGACTTAACCCATGGTATATAGTTGGTACCATTGAGTTTTACTGTTGTCAACTATAAATTCATTAGGTCTGGTTACACCACCACGGCAGGTTTAGGGTGACCACTTGATGAGGCCATGAAAAATCATCACTACACTTTTCTTGAACACAAAGGGAGCTTCACATACTTACCAACAGTCTATTTATACACCACAAACTATCACTCACTTCACCACATTGAAGACTAAACACAACTGCACCTACAACATCTATAAATCTGCTCCTCTTCGAACTGTTGAGTAGAGGAAGCTTAGCAAACCCTCACCAACTCACAAACAGCCACAAATTGAGGCATAAAGAGCCGAAGCATACCAAGGATAGATGCTGGAAACTAAATCCCCACCTGAAACCTGAGAAGTTTAAAACTGGAAAGAAAGTAAATGCTCATGTTGCTACTACAAGTCTGCAAGTCATGATTCTCAGACTCACATGCTTGAGGGAAATCCTTCTGCTCTGGCATCTACTCATGACACTTCTGATGTGATGGAAAAATTGAGAGGCATCTTACTCCATCTTGAAAAGAGCAGTTGCCTACATCTACTGGTTCAAATGCTTCTTCTAGTGCCTTTGCATAATCAGGTACTGCACTTGCGTGTCATGCCCCTCCCTCTAGCTCTTTGATAATTGACACAAGAGTCAGTGATCATGTGACTGGTATGCCTTCCTATTTTACCACTTATAGACTTATTTCAGGGAAAGGTAAGATTACCGTTGCCGATGGATCCCAGAGCCCGATATCAGGTTTGGGTGAAGTTAAATTTATGAATGACCTTTCTCTGAACTCTATACTCCATGTTGCAAAATTGCATAGAAACCTTTTATCTATTAGTTCTCTTATAAAGTCTCATAATTGCTCTAAACCATCTTTCCATCTCATTGTGTCTTTCAAGACTTGAGTACAGGGAAGACAATTGACAGTGGACATGAAGCCGATGGAGTTTATCTTCTTGATCAGTCTCTAATGTTAGGGTTGATGTGTTAGTCCGAGTCTTGTCATGATGAGAAACCATGTATATTGAAATTGTGGCATCACCATCTTGAGCATGTGCCTTTTGGTTCCTTGAAGTTTTTGTTTCCTAGTTTGTTTGAGTCCTTGTCTAGTTTTGTTCTGCAATGTGAAGTCTATCAACTATCAAAGCAATGTAGAACCACCTTTTTTGCAAGTAACAAAAGAAGTAATTGTAGTTTGATAGAGAAGAGAGAAGAGAGAAAAGAGA